GTACATCGACACATACAGCTATTTGAGCGTATGCACATGTGTATATATATATATATACACATATGTATGTATGTAATTATGTATGTATGTATGTATGTATGTATGTATGTATGTATGTATGTATGTGTGTATGTAGGTAAGTGTATATATATATATAGAGAATCATACCCATCATATATATATATATGTATATATATATACACATACCCGTACAGGTTGCACGCACAGCCACACAGCTTAGCACATGTAAACATGACGAGCAAGTGGATGAAGACACGCAGATGGTAGTTGTTCAAAGCGTACCCACGCTGTTCCAGCGCCTCCAAATATTCCCGCCCATGGTTGTAATAAGGATTCCTCTGTTTAGGGTCTATCAGGGTCCCCCTACGATGCTTTAAAGAATATTCTTGAACTTGAGGACTTTAGGAATTTAGAGGCCTGTTATATTCACTTAGGGCTCGGAACAAGGAAAGGCACTGTGCAATGTCCGCCCAACCTGTAAATCCGGACAAAACTGTCACAAGAATATACCCACTTGTTCCCATTCCAAGTATTTCGGCCGCCAAATTGGTGTCGCCCTCATATGTGCTTGATCTCTTGCGCGAGGATGCTGGGCCAATGTTTTTTTTGCCAAGACACAAGGAATGTTTGTCTGTCCACCGAGAATGGCCAATCGGGAGACACAAGTTTTTGTTTTCTTTGTATGTGACCACAACAGGACTTCAGTTCCCGAAAGTATATGGAGTAACATTGAGCTTTTGCTGCAGGAGACGTCAAAAACGTGTTTGGGTGCGTGGTGTCAGGCTTCGCTCGCGTCAGTTCGCAGCCTAAACCCTAAACCCTAAACCCTAAACCCTAAACCCTAAACCCCTAAACCCCTAAACCCCTAAACCCTGAACCCTAAACCCCTAAACCCTAAACCCGTGCATGTTTGAGGTTTGTCCAACAACGAGCCTTCGCTCTATGGCAACCTTCTTCTGTCCTCGACCAAGCTTCCAGGCCTCTGCGAAACAAGGGTTTAGGGTGTAGGGTTCTCAAGGGTTTGGTTTAGGGTTCTTAAGGGTTTAGGGTTTAGGGTTTGGGGTTCAGGGTCTAGGGTTCAGGGTTCTTCCGAGTTTAGGGTTTGGGGTTCAGGGTTCTTCAGGGTTTAGGGGTTACCTATAGTCTCCATTGTAGTTCCTTGTTTTGGCTTAACCAATTATATATTAAGGATTTTATAAGGTACCCCCAAAAAGGAACTACAATGGAGACTATAGGTAGGGTTTAGGGAACATGAACCCTACATCACTAAATCCTCCCTAAACCCTGTACCTTAAACGCTTAGCCCATTACAGAAGCAACCTTAAGCCCAAAGAGTCTTCTCCTGAGATAAACGGGTTTGTCCTCTCCGGGGAATCTCGGTGGCTAGGGTTCAGGGTTTAGGTGTTCAGGTAATACTGCGGATGTTGAAAATCCTGCATTAAATTATCTTAAAGGCTTTAAACTGTGGGAATTCTGGTATATTCCTTGTTATGGGTAATGCAGGGTTTATATCATCAACCGTAGTTTTCAGGCGTTCGAGTGTCCAGAGAGAGGTTTCAATTTAGGGTTTCGAGGTTTAGGGGTTTAGTTGTGGAAGCTGCTGAGGGTTTTGTGAGGGTGTATAAGGTTTTGCAGGGTTGTGTCGGGGTTTAAGGTATTTTAGGGCTAAGGTTTAGGGTGGAGGGTTTAGGGTTTAGGGCTTATCATAGTGGAGTCGCAGTAGTTAACAATGTCCTCGCTGTATAGAAACTGGCTTCTAAATTATGTGGCTTGGGGCTCGTCCCGTATAGAGTAGTCTGAACAATCCAGCTGTCTTAGATCCAATGAAAAATTCGACTTTCCAGGGCCTTTTACGTCTGTTTTAAGGGCAGCTCGGTTCTAGAAAGAATACGGTTGCGGGTCTAGGAGAAAGGTTGGGGTTTGAAGATTCAATGAGGCGTTTCTGGTTTCGGGTTTGAGGTTTTAGGGTTTCGGTGCTCGTGGCGTTTCAAGGGCTAATGAGGTTTGTTAGAGCCTCCACAATTCGTGTCTTGCCCCACCCGAGTGTGAGCTGGTAGGTTGGAACATCACGAACTTCGTGTGTTCCAGGGTAAGATATAGAGTTTTAGGCTACAGAGTACTAGTGCAGCCCTTTGCAACGAGGACACCCCCATCGCCCTAAACCCTGAAATCCTTTCGAGCCCTCAGAACGAACGCCCTAGAAAAATCTTCACTGACCAATCCGCGTAAAGGTTATGTTGAAGCCTTGTTTCAATAGTCTTCAGCACTTTCGAAGCCACACCCTATAAGGGTCCAAGTAGTCCTTTTTTTATGGTTTTAGATACCCAACAAGGGTTTAGGGTTTAGGTTCCTTTTTTATGGTTTTAGATACCAAAAAAAGGCCCCAAAGTCGGTACTTGGACCCCTCGGGACATGGTTCAAAAGCCTAGGGATGCAAGCTCGCGGGAAATTTTGCTAGGGAGCTGCTCCCTCTAAGCCTGTTTCTGGTTTCTGCCTAAACCCCAAACCGTGGGAAATGGAGGATTTTTAGGGCTTGTCAGGATTTGCCAAAGACCTGCTGGGGCAAAAGCTTCGCAAGAATGCACCGCATTTTTGCTTTTTTGTACCTTAGGTTCCCAGGGTATTTAAGGTTAAGGGCTCTTCAGGGTTGGGTTTGTTTTGGAGCTTTGAACAGTCAAACTGCGTTCCAGCAGAACAGACAATTTTTGTCGACTCGCATCTAGGATGTAGGGTTTAGGGTTTAGGGTTTAGGGTTTAGGGCTTAGGGCTTAGGGTTTAGGGTTTAGGGTGTAGGGTGTAGGGTTTAGGGTTTAGGGTTTAGGGTTCTGGTAAATCTCAAACTTATCTCTGCCAGGATTGGCGTACGCCGTGGACAGGAACACTGGCAAGGCGTCGATGGATGGAAACCCTATGTCTACCTTGTCCAAACTGTGTTCGATGCGGCTTGGGGTCTGTGTTTACCGTAACCCCAAACAACCTACCTGTTTAAGGCTTTATGTAAAGACATCGGTCAAGAAATCATCACAAGGAACCCTAAAAATATAGGTTCTTTAGGGTACAGGTAGCTCCGAAGTTACACCATTACACTCTCCCCAAACCAATCGGAGCTCCTGAGATGGTCACCAACCGAATCTCATACGACACGCCTATCCTGCTGCTTCTGGGCTGTCCTTAGGGTGTAGGGCTTTGGGTTTAGGGTTTAGGGTTCAGGGTACATCTTAAGCTCTGGCTGCCACTCTGGCTGATGTCAGTCTCATACCAGACGCGTTTCCGGATGCTGTCTTGCAGTGTCACGGCATCGTTCTTTGAAGAAGGCCTGTGGGTTGAAGACTTGGTAACCCTACCCCAACGGGTTCAAAGTACCTATATGGCTCCACATTCTATATTAGGAATCCATATCATGATTTGGGAAAGTATCGCGCAGAACAGTACCTGGGACCCTTTAGGTATTTGCAGACAGTTTCTGATCAAATATGTAAATCAGGTAGAGGCCTTATGCATTTACTGTTTGAAACCCTTAACGGACCCATATAGAAACCTTTGTGGATTTACTTGTTAAAAGCCTTAAAGGGCCTATTCAGAAACAATTGTGGATTTATTTTTTGAAACCCTAAACCCTAAATCCTGTAGCACCCCAGAGGTTGAGGGGTTTAAAGTCCAAACTCTTGCGGTTTACCACAAGTATCCTTTTTGAAACCCTTCAAAGACCCATATGGGTAGTTCTAAAATTGGGGTCCTCTTTCGGGTCCTTTTTATAAGGTGCCGTACTATATGACCTAAAAAGGAGCCCTAATCTAGAGAACTACCCATATAGTACCCTCATAGAAAGCCTTGTAGATCCCTTCCAGGAACCCTAAGAAGGGACTTTACTATAAAGGACCCCATCACCCTAAACCCTTATGTAAACCCTAAACCCTAAACCCTGATTTTCGGTCGAAGCTGCAGGCTTGGCCTGTCGGGCTCAAGTCTGAAGCCTAAAGTCCTAAAGTTGAAACTCCTGGAAAGCCCAAGCCCGAAAGGCCCGGACCTGAAGCCCAGTCTAGAATCATGATAGTTTAGGGTTTAGGGGTGTAGGGTTTAGGATAATGTAGGGGCCTTAAAAAATTAGAATAGGGTTTGGGGGCCCGTTATACTATGATTATAATATAAGGAGCCCCAAAATAGTATAGGTAATTCTTTAAGCTTCTATATTAGTCTGGATTCATCAAGCCCCTATGCTCTCACTCTCATCAGGACCCTGTACCCTGAACCCTAAAGCGCCAGACCCCAAACTCTGAACCCTAAGCCCTAAACCCTAAACCCCTAAACCCTAAACCCTAAACCCTAAACCCTAAACCCCAAAAACCCGAAACACCCCGAACTTCCGTACACGGAACGCCAAGTCAGAAGTCCTCAGCCCTATAAGCCCCAAGCCCCTCGACCCTGAACCCCAACCCCAAACCCGTAACCTGCTTTTCTGTAGGTCCTTCTGATGAAACCCTACTTGAAGGATCATGGGACTTAGTAAGTAGGGTTATAATTAGGGTAACTGTACTTATAACCCTAATTAAGGGACTTATAACCTTACTTACTAAGTCCCATGATCCTCCAAGTAGTGCCGAGTTTACGGGGACCCTGCATGAACCCCATGAGCCCAAGACTCCAAAGCCCTTTTCTCCGAGCCCCATGAGCCCCCCTAAACCCTAAACCCTAAACCCTTTATGACAATGCCCCCTTAACGTCCCAAAGAGGGCAGCTTGTCCTTTAAGCAAACTTTTTCGCGAGAGCCCGAGCTCGAACTGCAATTCTCAGACCGAGGCGCCGGGCTTCGGGAATGGGTCATCGAGTGGGTTTGGAGATGGTTGGGGGTTTAGGGCTTCCGGTTCGAGGATTTGGGGGATTTTGAGGTCTGAAGGGTTTAGGGGTTCTTCGGATTTGGTCTGGAAGTTGCAGGCGAACTACAGTTCGAACTGCACACTTCTGAAGCTGCGCGATCGCACGGATGCGAGCATGGCGCTCTGCACATCCTCGTGCGAGACCAAGCGGGTGAGCAGCTGCTGCTGTGACGGCGACACCTCACGGCTTCTAGTTTATATTAGGCCTTCTAGATTCTCCGGTACCTCAACAATTAAAGGCTACTCATGGTTCTGTGGTCTTTCTCGAAAGTTTGGAGACCCCGGGGAGCCTCTTTGCGTGGAACCACGAAGAAGAGAGGCAGCCGCATGAGTGCAGCCACGGCATAGATGCAGGCTGTGATGACAAAGGTCTGCCGATAGTCATAGGCATCCATGAGATAGCCTGGCTGAAACACGGCACGAAGCCTAATCATTGCATGATTAAGAAGATGCAATCGCATGGAAGCGGACTCAAGTACTTAGTGCGAAAAAGCAGCGCAACAGCACATCAGCAAATGAGGCGGATATAGAAACAGACAGCATCTCGCACGCGTGTCGTAGAACAGCGATTTTGCAGCTCATTGACTCGTTTCTACGATTATAAGTATGTGAATGTAGTCATACCATAGTCATACGAAGTAGCGAAAAAGATCGACAAGACAATTGAAATAGCCGCATCGTCGCAGGGATTCAACAACTGAGTACAAACTTACAAGGATAATAAGCTGCCGGGCTAGCTTGTAGAAATGCGTTTTGCTTGAGCAGCGAGTCTAGTAGAAAAGGAGAACAGAACTGTTCAAGTAATGACGATGGGTGTCACACTTACTAACGGTCATTAACGTAGAACTGACTGATCCTCAAGCGGCCCTTAAACCGTACTGACATGTGTGTGATTGGCTGTTCTGGTGCTGCAAGGGACTACGTACCCTCTACTACTATGATTCTTGACCTAAACCCTAAACCCTAAACCCCAATCCCTAAACTCATGATTAACGCAGAGGCTGCTGTTCTATCTTGAAATCGCAGCTTCCAGATTCCTCTTGGGCCCTAGCAACCCCGGGAAATGTCCATGGAAAACCCCAAGATCTCGCTGTGAAATCTACACAGGAGGTCTCACATGTCGAAGTAACACCTTCATGGGCATGGAAGTGTGGCGCATCGAAACTTGAAGCTTGCTGGGGTTTGCGGCTTCGGGCCTGGAGCTTTTCGCTTCGGAGTGTGTAAGCATTCTGCTCAGCATGTACGGTTTTAAGTTTCTAGGTTCCTGAGTGACCCCTTTATAATACGGGTACCCTTTTTCCTGCTATTCAGTTTTAATAAGGGAACCATACAATAAAAAGGGCAAAAGGGTACTACTCAGGAACCTAGCTTAAGTGTTAAGTTCAGGCTGAATCCTGGGGTGATTCAGCCTTCGATACTTGCAACGCTTCCGGCGTCGGGTTCAGAAGAAGCATGCCCCAAGTGGGTTTCGCCATGGCAATCCCAACCCCAAACCCCTGGAAGTCAAAAGTTGGCAGACCAGAAGTTCTAAATTCGGGTTGCAGGGTTTAGGCTTTAGGATTATTTGGCTTAGGGTACAAGATGTATAGGACGAGGGTTTAGGCTTTAGGATTATTTGGCTTAGGGTACAGGATGTATAGGACCAGGGCTTAGAGTTGGGGATTGAAGGGTGTGAAATTAAAAGGTCCGGGTTCTGAGTTTAGGATTTTGATAGGGTTGGGGTAGAGATTGTTTTGGGATTAGAGTCTAGGGTCCAGGAGCTAAAAATGGGGGGTTTCCCAAAATAGGGGACCCTAATATAGTACCCTAAATAGTAGGATCCTCATTAGGATCCTTATTATAAGGACCCCAATATAAGGTACCCTATATTTTCGGAAAGTCCCAAGTAGGTTTCGGGTTTCAAGTCAAGGCTTAGGGTCTCGGACTGCAGGTCTCATGCGACACCCCCAACTTGGAGGATCATGGGACTTAGTAAGTAAGGTTATAAGTCCCTGGTTATAAGTACCCTAAACCCTAAACCCTAAACCCTAAACCCTAAACCCTAATAATAACCCTACTTACTAAGTCCCATGATCCTGCAAGCAACCCTTGTGCCCAGCCTCCCAGGACAGCCGATCCAGACCAAGACATGCTGCTGATGCCTGTAGGGTGTAGGGTTTAGGGTTTAGGGTTTAGGGTTTAGGGTTTAGGGTTTAGGGTTTAGGGTTTAGGGTTTAGGGTGGGTTGGAAGCTCTTTGGGTGCTTGAGTTACGAGTGGGTGGGCGCCGCTTTCTGCCGGGCACTCACTACTAAGACTAGAACTCTACAACTACGGCTACAACAAAAGCTGCTGCTCGCCGCTGCTACTCTACTACGACTACGACTACTACTGCTACTACTGCTACTCTCGTTGCCGCTGCAACAGCTGCTACTACCACCGCCCACGACGACAACTGCGACGACGACTATTAATACTACTGCTACGACGACGACGATGACGACGGGGACCCCATCTGCTGCTGTTACTACCTTTGGAAGCACGTGCAGCATGAACATGACAACGGTGCGATTGGCGTGGAGTACTCCCCAACTGAAAAAGCAAGCACAAACCTCGTTGTACATCCGATCGTATACCCCATAAACAGCTCGGCTAATTACGAACGGTCTTCATATATCCCTAGAGCCCGTGCAACCCTTCTTTGAACCCCTTGAGCCCGCAAACCGGTAAAAAACCCAAACAAAAAACCCTATTATGAGCATGGGTATTCTTTCGTAGAAGCCCAGAAGTTGGAAACCCAATAGCCTCAATCCTTAAGAGTAATGTATGGGGAATCCCAGCACTACTTTGTCCTTAATCTGGTTTCCAACTTTTCTTGGTTTACTATAAACCTTACCACAAACACTGCACTCAAAACAAGATCTACTACAAGCCGCTTGCCAACACTTCGAACCCTGAACCAGACCCAAGCCCTGAACCCCAAAAGTTGAAAACTACATCCTACACCCTGTGCATCCCTAAACCCTAAACCCTAAACCCTGAACCTGCACCCTAAATCCTAAACCCTAAACCCTAAGCCTAAACCCTTAACCCTAAACCCTAAACCCTAAACCCTTAACCCTGAAACCCTGCACCCTGAACCTTGAACCCTAAACCCTAAACCCTAAACCCTAAACCCTAAACCCTAAACCCTAAACCCTAAACCCTAAACCCTAAACCCTAAACCTTGAACCCTGATTGTTGAGTGCAAGCTCTCCGCTGA